TACAAAGCCATGGACACACTGTGGTGAGTGTGTTATGAGGCTGCTTACGCACGCGCATGGCTCGGCAGGTGCCTGGGTTCAAACCCCAATAGCAGCAATTGCATCCCGGATCTTGACAATATAAATCCGGGAGCGCCGCGGGGCGGGGCAGCGGGGGCAGTGTGGGCGCGTGCGCGTGCGACGGCCTTGGCCTTCGCGCACGCGTCATGATGCGGCTTCCTTTTTCGCCACGTGGATCTCTCCTGCTGCAGCACCTTTTTTCGTTGTTTTTCCCGCTTTTTTGCCCGAAAACGCCCCAAAAACAGCCGAAAACCCGACTGTCGGGTCTTGCCGTATTTCCCTGCTGTGCGGTGTGGTGGGTGGGGACGGGGACTGTTCCCGCTCCGATACCAATGTAGCGGACCCACCAGGTGTGGTGCTCCGCTAGTGACAGAGATGGAGATGGAGGAAGAAGGGGGAGCAAGATGGCACAACGCAGCTCCCCACGCAAGACTCCAACGCACGTACTCCGAAATGTGCAAGTGAGGAATGAACCTGAAAACAGACAATGGCTGGGGTATACCCCAGCGGACTGACGGGACTGGACTGGACTGGCTGGTACCGACAGAGGTATCGGCCTGGACTGGCCTACCCCGAATATAACACAGGCCTGTGAGAACAGGCCAAGGGGCTGGTCTCACAGGCCAACCCGAGGTCCGCTACACCCTTAGATGTATGCTCAATACTCCGCCTTCACTTCGGCTCGCGACTAAACCCGTCTCTAGTGTCCTGTCTCCTCATACCCTTTTCCCCTAAGGTTTTGCCTGCCATCATATACTGACTATTAGAACATGAGGCAGGGTATGATACTAGCCTTCACCGTCAATCACGTCAAGACAAAGAGAGACTAGACGAAAAGAAAGAAAACAGTCATAGCCTGTGACGTCCACATTTATTCACCCATGAACGTGTCTCGAGGATCTGTCTTCCACCACGTACTTGCATTCTCGTCGTCTGCACCATGCACACTAGCTCGCAGCAACATTTACTCTGAAGGCGGACGATTGTACGGTCTTCCGATAGCAACAACTTAAGACCCCGCAGAGAGAGAGGAGATCTCATCACTCCAGCTAGGTGAAGTTGATGTCAACTAAGCGAGTCACTCAAGTAACCCACTCTCTCTCTCTTGATCTTGGTTACTCAGCGCCCCTGTTTATCGCCAAGAAACTGCTTTGCTAATGTAGGAAACTAAACACAACGCCTCGCTGATCACTCCCTAGTTATCCTGGGCGAGCGTGCGGAGCCTCCTGCTTCAAGAAGCGAAAGTAGTGCCTGATAACAGAGTCATAAAAAGGCACTTCTCAGTTCACTACACCAGTCAGGTAAGTGACATCAATCGGCAATAGGAAAAAGAGTCTGTGCCCCTCTTTTCTCTTCCTCGCTCTCTTGCAACCGTGCGCTCTCGGCATTATTATCCATCTGCTCGTGATAGGATGTCAACCGGAAGCTCCCCTCGCCACCCATATACCACAGTAATCCGACCTTCTCCCTCGTGTCCGTCTCGGGGCCTTGTGTCCCCTCGGAGAGCTGATGGTAGACGCCCCTTGCGCCTACCCATACCCAAAGATGGCGAGTAGGAAAGCCTCTCGAGAGTCGTCACCCAAGACAAGTAGATGATGATCTCGTTAGTCCACCAAAATCGAAAAATTTTGACGTCAACTCCCGTAGCTCACCCTCTTACGCACGGGCACTGACCCTGCTCGAGCGCGTCTGTAACTGACTCTCGCTCGTTTTTTTTTGTTGACGCGTGTCATCTCTCATCAATTCCGCGCCGCTGAGCTGGCCTCAGGGTCGTCCTCCACTGTCCCCGCTAGCGGATGGTTACGGCGGATCTGGTCCAGTCCATGCCAGGACTGGGTTTCCGCTTTCAAGTCGCTGGCGTCACTCTCAGCCTCGGAATCGCGGTCCAGATGTCGTTGCGCTCGCTCGGTCGTGTCCGTTGAAGTTTCAACCTCGTGGTAAGTAATGGTCAAGTGAACCTGAGTCGTGACCCCATCCCTCTGCATCCTTCTCTTCGTTCGGTTTTTTTACTCCATAACGTACAACTGCAGTCTCTGGTCCTCTTTCAGTTATGAGGGAACATATCCAAGAGAATGTATTCGTGAATAAGAGGATATATGTGAGTGTTTGGAAAACCCCCGAGTAGGTTCATCGTGCTTCATACCTTATAGAACTATAAATTTGATTTTTTTAAATAAACAAAAAAATGGGATATTTCGATTTTTGAACAAACGGTGCTTTGCAAGGTAGTGATTTTTTTTGTAGAAAGACTTGCTTCTCTCCTCACCACTTCCAGTAGTTTTGAAAAAGTATTTTTTTATTCATTGTTCGCGGTTAATTTACTTCACATAGAATGTTGTTCATGTAGGAGGCCTGAAAAATGTACTATCATAATCTTTAAAAAATGTCGTGCAAACCTAACAATTTTTTTTTAAAGGTTTTCACGAATTCTATGTTGCATACCATTCAATCGATACAATCATGCATACCATTCGATCGATACAATCATGCATACCATTCGTTCAGATCAAATCGACAAAAGTTGACGAGCCACAATGAGTTGACTCGCCTTCAAATAACACTTATCAACAAAATGATTAAAGCA